CTCAGCGGCCCTTCAGCCGCACTGACTCAATACTTTCCTGCGAACTTACCGGCGAGCCCGAGGAGCCAATAAAAAGACACCTCGAGGTTGCTCGATGTGTACGCGGCGACGATACTTGAAAAGTGAGAAGCGAGAAGCGCCGCGGCGGCGATCATAAGACAGCAAGACGTTCACTGCAAATTAAACGGATGCCTGATTTCTAAAGAGACACTCACACCGTCCGCGCAAGTGCCTCTCGAGGAACACAAAAAAGGAGGAAAAAAGAAGGAAAGAAAAACACACAGCCGAGATCATCATCCACGGGAGAGAGAGAGAGAGAGAGAGAGAGAGAGAGAGAGAGAGAGAGAGAGAGAGAGAGAGGGGGAGAGAGAGAGAGAGAGAGAGAGTCAGCGGTGCTCGACTCTTCAGCTACGATTGCGGCATCCTCGACGAGCATCGACGGCGACGTAGCGGCGGAGTGGCCGGCACGTCGCGCGCGTCTGTCCGCTGCCATCCGTCCGCTCGCTGTCTGCTCGCTGTCGGGGATACGCGAGAGACTTCAACGCAAGACAAAACGGCGCTTTTCGGGCCGCTACGTAACGGACGCGAGCGCGAGCGCGAGCGCGAGCGAGAAGTCCGCGCGCGCGTTCGTTTGTTCGTTACCGACCTCCAGCGGCTCGCTCTCGTCCGACGTGGCTAAGCACGAGAGGCTTTCTCCTGTGCGCCTCGGAATGCGGCCTCTCCCTCGGCCGGCCTCGAGGAGAGCCGCGGAGGCACGTCGTCCTTCCCATCCGCTGCCCCTCCGCTCCCCCCCGCCCCGAGCGCGGTTCGCGCGATTCCAGCGTGCGTCTCCGCTCGCGATCGGGACTCGTCTTGTTTCTGGCCGAGCTGAAGTCTTCGCGCTACTCTCGACCTCGACGCTCCGTTTAATTAATTTAATTAATTTACGCTCTCTCGAAGCCTGCGTCACTGTCTCTTCTGATTTATTCTCACCCCGACTGCTTCTGATTTTCTTTTCACGCGCAGCTCTGTCGAAAAGTCTTCCTGGGGATCCCGCGCGCGTCTTCCGTCATTTGGAGAAGTGTCGCGTGGGACGTTGGCTCCTAAATTACATCGTCATTAGCCCGCCAGAGTCTACAGATGTTGGACAGTCGAGGTCGAAAATAGGGCGAGGAATTTCCACTCGGCTGGCACTTCGAGTCAAGCACAAAAAATGAGGCTATCGCTGTGAGACGTGGCGAAAGAAAATATCCTCTCCCGACGGGGGAAAGCTAATTTTTGTGGAACGAGCAGGAACCTGTGGATTCGTGTTTGGCGCTACGCGTGACGCTAAATTGAAAGGCAGCGGCTGAAGGACTTGATACGAACGACAGGTTGATACATCGTGCCGCCGACTGACGCTCTTCCGGCCGTCGAGACTTTCTGAGACCCGCCGTAAACGACTTGACCTTCGCCTCCCATTATCGCGTTTCTCTTGTATATTTTCGTTTCCTCGTTTGAAGTGCTCGGGTCATGCGCAGGGAAGAAGTCCGTATCAACGTGACGTGACAGTGGACGAGCCGATTGCGAGAGAAACGCAAATATATCACCGATATTTATGAAACAAATTCAAATCCAGCAAATTCAGATTCCGCTTTCTCTTAAGCGACACGCGTTTGATCGGCTCGTCGGCGCGTCGAGTTAGCAAAATTCTTCCCTTCCGTTCACCCGTATTCGATTTCATTTTCGTGAATTCCGGTGAATTTAAGCCGACCGCTCGCTGCAACAGCGCTCCGTTTGGCCGATAAATCGACGAAACTGCCGCTCGGAGATTAGGGGCGGCGTATTATCGCGCCGGCGCATTCTCTTTCGGGCGCATAATTAGCGCGGCCGCTGGCTCGGAAATCGCGTGCAAACGCGATCGTTACGTAATCATAGCCCAGTTCGCGAGCGCGCGCACAACGCGTACACACAGAGCGATTTCAATTTTCGCGGTAGACGAAAAGAAAGGCGTGTCGAATCGAATCGTATTTCACGCGGAATGCGCCCCTCTCGTGCTCGCGCTCTCCGCACTTCCTGTACACGCCTTTAATTGCGTCGCGCGCCTTATGAGGGAAGAACAATTCTCTCGTGTGGCTGCGCGCCATCGGAGACATCGGCTTCTCCTTGCTACCAACTGCGAACGTTAACTTCGATTTCGTTCACCCGCCGCTGTGTCTTTCACCTGCCTTCAGCCGAGTCGCGCAGTTTGGCTTCTACATCAATTCCGCGCGATTGTCACGCGGAATCTCCACTCCGATGCTCAAGTGTGAGTCACCAAATATATATTCGCCAGCTCGTCTCATTGGCTCTCTCGCTCGGCGATAAATCGGCATTTGTTGTACGCGGTTGTTTTTACGCAAGTGCTGAGCGCGTAAGTAGCGCGCGGCTAGCACGTGAGCGCATAAACAGCGAGTAAATAAAGATTGCGCGAGGACGTAAATTAGCGAGCCCCGGCGATATTACAGCGCCGGTCACATGGCAGTCAACGTGTTAAAGGATCGTGGAGGGATCGATAGGATACGCGCATCGCCCGTCGACTCGAGACGCAACGACTCGGACTGCGTTCCGATATTCACTGCCAATACTGAAAATATATACTTTATGTCACGTACGTTACAGATTTTCAGTACTGGCAGTGAATATCGGAGCGCAGCCTCGGTTGACGGACGACGTGAAACAATACCGAGGCGGTCGATACCTTCGGAAGAGACAAGGACACGCTCACCCCTCCTGTCCAACGTATTCCGACCCTCTTCATTGTCTCATCGAAACTTCTAACGCCGATAGAAATGATAATAGAGAGACAACGAAGGGGGCATTTTATTACTTATTGCTTTACTTACCTGTTAATTTAATGTCTATTTCATGTTCTCCTCTCTCATTTTGTATCCGTTTGATTAATGGTTAATCTTAATTTAGTTATTTACCGCAATATCCTCTCTTTCTCTCTTTTTCTTTATCGGGAGACGGATCGTTGATTTTTCAAGCTTGACGAAATGTGCGGGATTAATGCGGAAACTTGTGATTCCTTTTCTTCGTTTGATAAATCTCACGTGTGTGTATAAACAAGTTTAGTATTTTATGTGAGATTCGCACACGAGTGAGAGAGAAGGCTGTCCCCTGGCGATCTTCCTCTCCGTGGAGATGCATCATCGTTCGAATAAACCGTTAAATTAAATATATCAAAATCACGAGTCTGAGGGAGCCTCGAGAGCCTTCAACTGTGATTATCTTCATTATCTTCAGCATCAACGGCGACACCTTGAGCCACACGCTTAAAGATATGCAAATTCTTGTAAAAAACAGCCGAGAACGAGACACGCTCCGCTCTTTCGAATAAACACGTCACGGTACTGTTATCTCAATTTGCTAAGTGGTCATGCAAGATACCGGGCTGAGGTGCCTTTAGATTATCCAGCGATCAATCACTTCACGGCTAATCAAATCTTACCTCGGCACATTGCGCGAACTCCGCGAGTACAAATGCGAGCGCAATTAGGAAGAGAGAGGCGTCTTTTCCGGCGTTTCCGAGGAATCCGAGAAGAATACCACCGGCGCGTGAAAAGCGACCTATCAACTTCTCAATGGAATCCGACGAGAAAAATGTGAGCAGGCTCGGCCGCGCGTCTCGCTTGTAGAGGCCCGATTTATCATGATCATTCATCCATTCTTAGGCAACGCGCCTAGAGGAAACGAACGCTCGCTCGGTCGCTCAGAGACGGGCGACGCGGCGAACAAGCGACGAGAGGCATCCTTTAAAACGTCGATTAGTCAATATACATCAGCGACGAGCGCTCGTATGCTAATGACGATCTCTCAGGAGATCGCCCGACATCAAAGGACGAAAAATGCAGCTGGCTAATGGGAGGATGGCAGCACGGCACGATCTCTCGGATGGATCTGACTTGTCCGATCTTGGACTTGGCGCACGGAGCAAGAAAGATCGCTTGAATGAGCGCGACAGTGAACGCGAAGCGAGCGCCTCTTTTGGTCAGAGGGAACGGATTTTCTCGCTCGTACGTCGAACGAAATTCCGACGATACGAGAGCAGAGATTTGCCGTCCGCGCCTCCACCGCCGAAACGCCTGCGAAATTCGTATTCTCGAATTCCGTCGCTCCTTCGCTCACTTATCTATATCGTGTATATCGTCACGTTGATTCAGTCGATATCTTTTTCTTTTTCTCCGATGCGACATCTTCCCGGTAATGTGCGATGCGCTCGTTGAACGGGAGAAAGTACGAATACTCTCCTCGGGGCTAACAGCGTGCAGCAGCGTGAAGAGCGATTGTCCCCGTCGTGAAGAGGGGCTCTCTGTTGCTTTCGCTCTTTTCGCCACTCGAGCGTAAAGTCCGATTTTCGTTCTTGTTTCGCCGCTTTTACCAGGATTTCCATATCGCTCGCTCGCTCGCGTCGAAATATGAAAGCTGGACAATCAATTTGTTCGGCTAGGCAAGTCGAGCATCGGATTCTCGACCGCGCTCTCGCGAGAGAATTCGAGCTGGAGCCGCGAGTCCGCTTCCGCGTCGGGCCATTGATCTTCCGACCGAATCGATAATTATGCGGTTGTTACCGCTCCCGACGTATCAATTAGACAGAAAGATAATTAATTAGAAATTTATCTTGTTAATTCTAATTAATGACTCTTGTTAATGCGAAAGTCGATTGTTCGGCCGTCGTGCTCATGTATTTTCCCAAAGAAAAAGATTAAACCGTTCAAATTGTCGGGCGCCACGGAAGAATTATCATCTAATCACACTGAGAGAGAGAGAGAGAGAGAGAGAGAGAGAGAGAGAGCTCTGAAAGGAAACGAAAAAATTGTTATCCGGTGGGTACTACGAACGAATCTAAATTCTTTCATTTGGGTAGAATAGGCGATTGCTTTTTTGTTTAAAAGCGAAGGCCTTGAGAACCGAGTATATTTTTCCATTTGCAAAACATTTTCTCTCTTAGTATAAGAAATACCTTACTAGTACCCACCGAATAGATATCTTCTGCTTTTTAGCTATTTCTTTTCTCTCAGCATGCGGTTGAGGATCCTCGCCGAGATGAATGCGTGACGGAGCGACACTTGGTCGCTCGTCCCGCAATGACCAGCGTTTCTTCGGCGGGCTTTCCACCGTCGGAAATGGTCTTTGACGAGAATGATTATCGTATCGTCGCTGAGCTTTACGATAAACGGCCGAGCGTACGTGCGCAAGATAATAGCGTGTAATCAGAAGGTATACTCACGCTAAACAGCTTCGGTCTTGCACGCAAATGTCCGTTTGCAGACGGAGAAAGAGTGAGCGCGCGCGCGCGCGCGCGAGAGAGAGAGAGAGAGAGAAAGAAAGAGAGAAAGAAACAGAAAGAACAAAGAATCATTACGACTGGCCGAGCGAGGCAAGACAGCGGCGAACGTAACGATAGCAGATCGAGGCGCGCACACACACACACACACACACACACACATACACGGAGATTTATTATCATCGTCATCGTTATTATTATCAAATACATTAATGGGGTATTAAAAATAAAGGGACGGGCGCGACCGTCCCGGAAGAGAGCTCAGTATGTACACGAATAAAGTGAGTATTTGTCATCGCGCCGCCGCACGGGCGCGTCCAGGAGGGAGCGCGATATGCCGTGCTCGCCTGGCGCGGACGACGCTCGCGTTAAAGTAATCGGAAAGTGCGTCCACACTTCGTAGGAACTCTGTTTCCGCCGAGGTAGCCCGCCGCTCGTCTCTCGTCCTCAAGGTCACGGCGACGGGGCGACGTCGGAGGCGACGTGTGGATCGTCGTCGGGGGAGTCATCAAGATACGACGCACTTTTCCGCGTCCTTCTGCGCCTGGTTTGACGACGACGAGGACGCGGGCGCGCGTTTCCTCGCGCACGCCACCGCATCGTTCGGCACGTAGGAGATCCTGACGCCGCCGTAGGCTCGCCGGGGCGGCAGCGCGTAAGCCGCGGCTTCGTCCGAACTGCTGGACGAGCTGCACGTTGAACAGCAGCTCTCCACGTCGTCGTCCTCGCCGTCCATCCTCGACCTAGAGGTACCCGCCGTACCTGCAAAGATACGTCTCGCGTGAGGATCGCGTTGGCGGATTTCGAGTTTCTCGCTTCATCGGACATTCAGTAATTATCGGGGACGATCGTGAGCTAAGGACCTTGACATCTTCTGGAGAGAGTGGAAACACTTGGACGAGATGGCAGATGTTTGAGTTGAAAACTGAGAGAGTCAATGAAGTCATAAATCAGCTACTTGCGCGAAGAAACTCGGCGAATTTAAGTTTCACATTTAACCGGGAATCCTGAGATTATCGGACATGTCCGAGATGGAAGCTTGAAATCTTTCTCGAAATGAGCAAATATACTTCGACGACGTCGGATTATCGCCACGGACTACGTTGTTAATTACAAGAATAATCACGACAGACGTCCGAGTTGCGGAAAATTGAGAGGTAGAAAAAATCTCAACCTCACAGTTATGAATCGTTAAAATTCTCAATGGTGTTATCTCGACGTTAATCGTGCGTAGTAATCGTCGAAATTACGTGCTCAAAATCTGGGAGGAAGTTTCGCTGACGGAAGCTCGTGTGTACTTTGCATCAGAGGATCTTCCGATGTGCACCTTCTTCGGTAAGGTGCATATTTTCCTGCGACCTCGCGCGTTTCACATGTCGCAACGGTACACGAGTCATGACACCAGTCATGACAAGAGCAGACACGGCGAGCGTGGACGCGCGCTGCGCGGCGTCCCGAGAAGAATGGCGTTTGCTTCACGTTCGTACGTCGATTTCGCCCGAGATACGGCCGCCCGGAGAAGCCGGAATTTCGGCGGCCGGCATGCCGTCGCGTCGCCGACATCTCGCGCGGCGGCGCGCGTGTACTACAATGTAGTGCGCTCGCGCCTCGGACTTCACACCTCTCCCTCAAGGCGGCGCGCCCGGCTTCAAGGGGACGCCGCGCAACATTGTCGGCGAGCCCGCTCCCTGTCAGACGATTCGCCGCTCGTCGATTTCTCCGCGTAGAAAGGTCGTAGCGACGTGCAACAAAATGCATTCGAAAGCTGAGGGCCGCCCCCCCGCTCCCGATGACGGGGGGCAACCGTCTCTCAATGTTCTCCATTAACTTGGCTGTCAATCGATGTATCGTTGGATCGAATTTCCACTCATCTTTGTATCCGACTCTTAAAGCCACCATTTTTTCATCCATATTTCTCAATCTAACCGGTCAATTAAGATCCACCGACTCGTTCAGCTGGAGATAAATCCACGACGAGGAGTACGAAGATTTCCTTTCCGATACGAACGAACGAGATGAAACGTTTATAAGAGTGAATTCAATTTTTCATTTAATTTTTCTTCGTCCTTAAAAATCTTTAAAAATGTTCTCGTTGTTCTGCTCCTTGTACCTTGACAGTGTATGAGTATACAAAAATTTATTATTTTCCAGTCTATTGTCCTAAAGCGGAAAAGTCCTCGCGCTACTAATATCGCCGTAGAAACACCGTTCTGAGACGATTACGGGCGTAAGCATAACAAACGTCCGATTGTTTGTGAATAATAGACTGGATGACTGGATGAGTTCTTGGCCAATGGCTGTTGCAACATCCGGCTATTCTCTAAACGGGTCTGTTGTCTACCAAACACCCGAAGACACGCTCTCGCATTTTCAGCTGTTACCAAACAAAAGCTCGTTACGCACCCCAGGTCGACGTGCTGGCGACCTCGTCGGGCTGCAGGCTCCTCGATCGGGACACGTTCGTCCTCGTCAACGACACAGGCGGTGGGGAGGGCGACGACGACGAGTTCCGGTCGTTCGGGGCCGGGGGCGGGAGGGGCATGCGCGACGACGCGCCGTGATCGTTGACGTCCAGGTCCCCTTGGAATCGCACGCGTCGCGACGTCGGCGTCGGCGGATCCGTCTGGCTGGTTCCGATGGGATTGACCGGCGACGTCGCCGTCTCCTGCGCCAGCACACCGGCGGTCGACGTCGACGCTGACGCTCCCGACGACGGCCGCGGGGGCGGCGGCAGTTCCGGCATGCTCGACGCGTGGGAAGGTGTGCAGTTCTGAACGCATCTGAGAGGCTCTCGGTCCCGCGCCTGCATCAGCCTGCAACGCAATCGCGATACGCGCTGTTAACGCGTCCACTGTTACGCTTGGGTGTGTTAGCACCCAGTGAGGTTCTCCCCGACTTCAAGGCTGCTGCGTGTGTGCTCGGCGCGTTGAATGAAACGTCGCAACTTGCGCAACCTTGTGAACTTACGAGATCCCCGGATATTCAAGCATATCTTGCTGACGAGGGCTCGGTAAAGACTCGACAAAGTCCCGGTGAAGGGGCTCCAGCCATCTGGAGCTTGGTAATTATATCGATTGAGAACAATGCTTTCGCTTCCTTTTTTACCCCTTGCCCTTTTATACGTGATCGTATTTTATTCCGGTTTGATGTCTAGATAGATGCTTCAATACCTGAATATACTAGTCAGCATATTTTTTGACAGTTTCCCGCGATTCTGACGTATTTTACTCCATCTATACTTTACATAGGAGAGAATGGGACAAATGGAGAGAGAGAGAGAGAGAGAGAGAGAGACAGGTGACAAATACGACTCGAGACAGTGAAATCGTAAAACGCACCTTCCCAATTCGGAGCGGTTATCGTCGGGGTTTAGAGAGCCACGTTCCTGCAGCAATCTCTCAAGGTTCCGTTCCAGGAGCACCCTGTCGAGGCCACTGGGTCTGGAGCCGCTAGTGGGGAAGCCTTCCACGACGAACTCTGGGCTCAGAGTACTCTGAGTGGGCGTCGTCGCTAAGGACGCGGAAACCTGCTGATGCTTTCTGCTCATCCGAGGCGAACTCCTAGGTGATCCGAGAGTGTGTCTCGAACCTGGAGGAGGGGGCGGTGGAGGAGGTGGTGGTGGACTCGACGAACCCTCGCTCGTAGCCACCGCTTGCCTCCTACCAGTCCTGCAACAAGTTCAGCTGGAGTTGATCGCGCATCGCTCGTTGAGGGGAAAATAACGAAGAGAGGGACAGAATTGAATTCTCTTCCGCTCAAAGAGACATTTTCTATTCTGACGTGTATCGTGCTTCTTTTCAAACGTTCTTCCCAAACGCGTGCACTTAGCTATCCCCTTTAAACATGTTGGCTTGTTAGTGACTTTTAAACGATTCTCCAAACGCGTACTTCTTGCTACTCGTTCGTTTTGATTTGATCGACGACGATCTCTTATGTAGTTCACCTCGTGCCCTGAGATCACAATAGACTCAATCTGCTATCTCCTGAGAGAACAATAATTGCTAAGCCTCGTTCTCTGCATCTCTCGCTCGACTTTATCAAACGAGCCCGACGAAGAGAGGCTGCTAATTATTTCCCATCCCGGATTCACCGATCTTCTCGCGGCAATTAAAAGTGCGATAAAATTTACATTCCACATTCGGGCCCGCTGCTGAACGAGGTCGTTATGTATATAAGCCAAATTTAAATTTAATCGCAGGTGCCTCATTAACAAGTCTTTATGCACGTAAGTGGTTCGACGCCTCGGTGATTTCATTAGCGATACGAACTCGAATACAGGCGGAATCGCCTATAAAGGACACACCGTGTGAGCCGCTGTCATTATCACACACGTGTGACTGTATCTTTTCGTCAATTATAATCTGCGATAAATCCGTCCCTCTCTCTCTCTCTCTCTCTCTCTCTCTCTCTCTCTTTCTCTCTCACTCACACACACACTTATCAAAATCCAGGTACTTATCCCGGATTTCCTTATGCGTTTCAACGCGGACTCGGACGCAACGTTCTCTCGATTCTCACCGAAATGACGAGCTCGCTGTAAACAGCGTGACGTCTCTCAGGCAAATGGAATTATTCATACAACTACTCTCTTCCGCTCGTCAAAGCAGCCATTGATCACCCGTGAGACGCGAAGCGAAAAGAGAGAGAGAGAGAGAGAGAGAAAGAGAGAAAGAGAGAGAGAGAGAGAGAGAGAGAGAGTCACGGCCGCGGTGTTCCGCGAACTTCAATCTCGGTTTCGCCGATCTCCCCCTCTCAGTCCAGTTCCGCCTCCGCCGAGAGAAGATGAGCCGGCCGCGCGTCGATGATTTATCGCCAGGCGTAATCGTTTCTCGAGCGCGACTTCTCCCCGCGAACTCGGAAGCGGCACGCGCGGCGTTCTTCGCCGTGTAATCGCCAGCCGGCTGCGGTCTCCCCCGTGCACGAATCTCGACGACCCCCGCGCGTCCTGCGCCGGCAGGAGAGGACAATGAGGCACCCCCGTGACCCCGCGTGACGCGCGCACGCGAGAGAGGTATGCGGCTGCTGGATACCTGAGGAAAGAAGGCGGTGGCGGTGGCGGGCCGGCGGAGGAGTCACTTGGTGTTGTCGGCGGCTCACCCTTGCTGCACGCTATGCTGCAGTAAATGGCTCCTCGGCGTGGCAAAAATGGCCGGCCCAGAAGGGATGTGCGACACGTTGCGCAACTGAAGCATGACTCGGTCGCGTGCCAATGTTGACCTTCGTGCGACATTTGACCCTGGTCGACTCCTATCGGCTCGCCGCAGCTATCGCAGTACTCGGCGAATGACGCATCGAAGCAGCGCAAGCAGTAAGGTCGTCCCTCCCTCATAACGTATCTCTGGCCGCCGAGCTGCGGGCAGAAGGAGCACGCGCGCACCGTGCGTGAGAATTTATGAGAGGCGGCGAGAGGAGACGGCTCATTTTTCGGCCGAAGTTCTCGAAGAACGACGCTGCGACGCTGCGCAGATGATGTCACCTCTCGTCCCTCGTCTCATATTTATTAAGTGTAGCCGCGCACATTCATATTTATATCGTCTAAAGTAAGTGACGTCTCAACCTCGGCCTGACTCTTGGCCAGCCGCGGCCATCTTGATGATCCTCAGGGAGGAAGGAAATGCAAGCACAAAATTCCTGCGGAATATGCTCGGATAGAAAACATTAATAAATCTGTAATAATAATATAAATAATACATATAATAAAACGGCAATCTTAATGAAGATATAAATAAAAGATATGAATAAAGATACAAATGAAATATGTAATACGGATAAAATATGTAAATATAAATAAAATAGAATAAGAAACGGCACTCGCAAGCTGCGAAGTAAGTCGTCTCATTTCCTTCTTTCCCCTTGCTCCGATAAACGATAGATAACCGTAAAATTTGTGTGACAGAATTATGCGAGGAGATTATGCAAGTCGCGTTAATTTCGCGGCAATCCTTCCCGATTGTCGGAGGGTGAGAGGGGCGCGTGTTCGGGCTGTTTCACAGACCCGCTCGATCGGTGCTCCATCATTGCGTTTCGTCGCGTATCTTGCCAGGAATTTGCGCAATCTCCCGCTCTCTGACGTCGTCGAGATCAAGAGGTACCCGCGGTACCCGCGGAGTAGCCAAGAGTCTAATGTCGGGGGGCCGAGAGGGCGCGAGGGGGCTGTGCGATTTAAGATTAGCGGAATGGGGATAGCGGCGGGGGGGGAGAGGGAGGTGGGGAAAAAAAGGAAATGACGAAACGATCAGCGCGTAGTGACTCGGTTTACGAGCGCGTAACAATTAAAAGCGCCGCTCCATCAGGAGGCCGCGGCGCGGCGCGGCGCGAATGTGTGCAGTTAGAAGGCGCGACGCGGCGGCAACACGGAGCCGCGCGGCGATAATAGTACTTTACCGGTGACCGGTTATTCACTGGAGCGTGCACTCTATATATACAGCGGATCTCTGATAAACCGCAGGGTTCTTGGCGTTCCCTGGTCGCGCGCGATCGGGAAACGATCCCACCGCGCCGGAGCCGAGCCGCCGCCGCCGAGCGGCGAATCACACGGAATAAATTAGAGCCGGGAGAGAGAGAAGAAACCCCGCGCTTTTCTCGAACGCGCGAGCGCGCGCGCGCGCGTCGGGTTTCCTCCCCGCGCCTACATATTCATAAGTTCACCACCGCGAGGTGTGCGTGTTCCTCCTCGAGCGCGCACCGGAGGCGCGTGATACGCGCGGCGCGACGTTATCTAACTCGGAAGACATATCTGGAGATAGAGTCGGCCGGCGAGAAATTACGAATCGCTACGTAGCTGTAAATTTGATAGCGACGTAATCGTTAGCTCGCCGTTGCTTCTCTCTCTCGCGCCGACAGATACGCGCGCGCGCGCGCGCGGATACCGCTACGCAGAAACGTAGATCCGCCGTCGCGCGTGAAGGGGGGAGAGTGGGCTGATAAAAAGTCGATATATTTTACATGGATTTATGAACCCGCTTCGCCGCCGCCGCCGTGCGAGAAAACGGAAGCTGCGTTACTCGCCGTTAGATCGCGCGCGCTCGCATTCGCAGGATTCGCAGGACACGTCCGAGGATGGTGTTCTCTTTCGCACGCCGAGGAAAATTGAAAGCACAGAGAATAGATTGAGATTAATTAATAGAAGAATATATGTTTGTTATATCAAATTCCCGAGGATGGATGTTATTTTTCTCGCAACATGTCGGCGCGCATGCCTGCGCGAATGTTGCGCTTTTCTAGCGGAAGGTCGCAAGGCTCTTTTAGTTAAAATCGGAAATACGGAAAGGTATAGGACGGTGAGAGGTCAATCGTGTGTTTATTGAAAATATTTTTTGGTAGATATTTTGGTGAGATATTTTTTAACAACTTGCAACTTCTTTCTGGACTCTGGCTCTCTTCTCACCGTGTCTCGCGTCCGTGTATTTTTTGCTGTTACATAACAATTCTGAGCGAGCCGTAATTTCGGCAGGATTCAGCGAAGCTCCTCTTACACTCTTTCCCGGGGAGAGATCGCTTCGTAATCACACAGCCCCGACCGATTTTCGCCCTTCTAAGCGACTCGACCGCGGGCATTTACCGCGGCAAGCTCAACGGAAGAGCCGCGACCGAGCCGAGGGATCGTTTCTCGGAAGGAGGGAAGGGATCGTGTAATTAGGGGACCGGCTTCATCGATGGTTATCGTTATCGTCGTGCGAATCTCGAGGCTGTTTTCGTCGAGACACTCACGTCAGTGTTGCTTTTGTGTTGGAATATTCGCAGCAGAATCGCGCTGCTCTTTCTGAAATCCGAATATCCGTACTAGAACGCCAGAGAGTCCAGCCTTACCTGGACTCCCTCCACCCTCCCCCCCTGTCGCCTCGCACTCCACAGACGTCCTTACCTGTCGATCGCATTCCAGACAAGCGAAGTGACGCATGTGCCATGCCCTGCCTTCGGCTTCGGTACACTCGTCGGCGAGAATGATTTCGTCGCATGCGCAACACCGTGGCTTGAGAGTCTCGGCGTGATGCCGACCGCAGTATAGCCTGCCATCTCTCCAGAAGTAGATCAGGTCCACGAGTAGTTGACGACATACGCAGCAGACGAAGCAGGCGGGATGCCAAAGTGCCGCGGGACCAGAGCGGCTGGCAGTGATCGCCATCTCGCCCGCCGCAATTGGCCTTCCACACTCTCGACATCCCGCGCCGTGCGGACGCTCGAGCTGGCTCGCGTGGCCGCGGCCTAAGGCTTCGCGTTTCCGCTGCGCTGCGAACACCCGTAGCTCGCGCTTCTCCTCCTCGCTCAGGCCGCTGCAGTATCGCGCCTCGTTGTCGTGCGGCGGTAGCTGCTGCAGCAGTTGCTTCACCCGCTCCCGCTCGCCGGCGCTACCCGCGTACGGGATCTTGTCCTCGGGTAGTGCGCTGAAGTACAGGTGCACCTGCGGGAACACGTGAGCGCGGAATTAGGCGAGAGGAATTGGCCGCGCGTGTTTGTGCGACGAACGATGCGCGGCGCGTCGATTCCGCTCACTGTCGGCCTCCGTTCCTCGGCTCCTCCGTTCCAAAGTTCCTCGACGGTGAGACACGCTTGCTGCGCGACGCGAAGGAGTCCAAGGATTCACACCTTGGCGGGAAAGCGGAAGGCAGGAAGGCAGCTTCCTCTCTCTCTCTCTCTCTCTCTTTCTCTCTCGCTCTCTCTCGCTCGCTCTCTCTCTCTCTCTCTCTCTCTGTCTCTCTCTCTCACGAGAGAAGAGAGACCTTCCTGCCTTCTGCTTTTCTGCCAAGATGTGAATTCTCCCCGAGACGAGTGTTTTCACGGCGGCGAAGCGACAGGCAAACTTTTACGAAGATCCAGCTTTAATAGCTGACAGCGAGACTGCGAGAGCACACGGAGAAGCAAGACAAGCAGCAAGACTCCTGCAGTAAGGAAATTTACCTGGTTCAATCTATAGTTTTCGAGTCACAAGGGGAATGGTCGCCAGTTTCTTGTCGATTTGTGCTCACCGCTTACTGAAGGTTTATTGTTCACTTTTTTGTGTATTTCTTCCCTGTCGCCGCGAGCGTCTTCTCGATGTATTTCGTGGCGCGACCAACGTGTTAAGAATCAAATACTTAGGTACACACATAGAGTGAGACGGACACACACGAATGTACGTTCTGCCTTGATGAGAGGAAAAGACTCCGGATCGCAAACACGGAAGAATACGAAGAAGACGATGACGCTTCGAGTTGCGCGAATAGGAGAAACATGCGAATCTACGATGAGAAGATGAAAACAGTCACGATGAGTTGTGCTTATTTCGCCGTTGGAAGCGACTCGAGTGTTTACCGTATTTTAAGGATGATAATGCTCTAGCTTTCTCTCTCTCTCTCTCTCTCTCTCTTCCTTTCTTTAACTCTCCGTCCGGAGTGTCTCGATGCGCGTATCGACGGGATGGTCAATACGAATGGCTCCAAAGTAATGTCTTCCTTTCTCTTTAGTTCCAAGGAGATCCTGCCGAGGACTTCAGCACGACGCAAAATATCTTGATTGGAGTTTCGAATTCTTTTTAGTCTTGTATCTCTAAGTGTTTATATACTTCGATCGTCAGATACTGCGGACTTCCGGATACTAAGCTGCGGTCTTTTATCCCCTTTATCCTACTCTAAACATATTTGTCCGTCGCGAAGAATACACACGGGTGATGTTTCGTAAGGAACACGAATACAGAGCGAAAATAACACATGTGGTCGGCAGATTGAAAGTCAAACGATGGATTATATAAATCGAAACTGGGAAGCGGAGATAACGATCGTGCGTTGAGACCGCGATGAACACGGAGGAACGTTCTCACGTGCCACTTTACGATAAAAAGATATAGAGAAGACCACACGTCGAGTACAACAATTCAGCTATCAAGATCTTCCGAAGAAGGACGTTGCCGAGTTCAAGTTATCGATAGGTTCGAAACTACGAGCCATGTTTGTGCACGTCGTGATCGCTCCGCCGAATTAGGCTACGCTTCTCAAGAGATCGCACGGCGTAAGCCTTTAAGGGGATCTCGGAGGATCAGATTACTGAAAAAATCGTGCTCGTTTTTGATAATGATTTTGTGATGAACTGAATAAATGTGCAAGAATGAAAATTTTTGATATATTTACATAACATATGAAGAGTAGAAAAATTTTGTTCATTAACAAATACTCGTATAAATATACGTCCACTTAAATTTGAAACGCGTTTTTCTCGAAATTTTATCGATTGTATCGATTTGAAATTTTAAAGCAATAATATTTGCTCATGTGGCTCTCAGGTGAACCATGGACAACTCCGTCAAAATATTTCATTTCAAGGTATTAATTTTTTTATCGTAAGAGAACTGAAAAATTTGAATTTTTTCCTAACAATAGCTGCCATTTTGTTAATTTTGTTCGATTTTTTTTGCTCCAGTGGTTCACCGAATAATGATAAGCCTCTTCAAGATTTCTAGCTAAAATTCGCTCTGGATCGGACCACCGAGAGCCGAGATATTACTGCAAAAACGATAACTTGAACGAAAAAAGGAGAGTATATTTCAGCCATGTATATCGTATATTTATACGAGTATTTGTCAATAAACAAAATTTTTCTACTCTTCATATGCTGTATAACTATATCTAACATTTTCGTTCTTGCACATTTATTCAGTTGGTCACAAAATATTCACAAAAACAAGCACGATTTTTCAGCAATCTGACCCTCCAGTCCCCTTCAATCAGTCCCTCACAACGGAAGAGCCGCACACGTTAAACTCGTGAAAACTTAGCTGGCAGCAGGTTGAAGTCTTCTTGGAGAGAAGACGTTGCCAAGATATCGACAGATGCGGAACCGAGAGTCGTGTTTCACACATACGCGCGCCTTCTCGTCTCAATTACGTCCCGGGAGGGGACCAAGTGTTCGTCTTTAATAACTATCGAGTAATTGAAGGGACGTCCCCGATGCCGAGGACGAAAGTGCACTTACTAAGTCACCGAGCATCATGCGTAATGCATCGAGACGTGCACGCGCGGATACGCGAGATCGAGCTTGAAAAGCGCGAGCTTCGCTCGTACGCGTCGCTCGCTCGCTCGCTCGCTCGCTCGCGCGCGCGCGCGCGCGCGGAGGAATTATCACGATCAGGGCCGGTTTTGTGTGCGCATGTATCAACGTCGATTATCTCTGTAACTGATGCTTCAGCTGATAAGCTGATATTCTTTTCCAGATCGCACCGGCGCCTACGATATCGACGGAGGGCGACCGTCAGCTCCCCCTCCCCCCCCCCGCGCGGCTGACGTTATAACCGATGGCCGTCGAAGCCCGCCTATAACCGCGTCGCAAAATTAGATGAGTATCGAGACAGCCACTGTCGACGTACTCAGAAACGGGTCTCGCGAGAGAACGCTGATATATGCGCTCTCGCCGGCTAAAGGAAATAAGGGAGGCACGAGAGAGAGAGAGAGAGAGAGAGAGAGAGAGAGAGAAAGCGCATCAAAGTGCGCAGTTTTACCGCGACGACGTCGCGAGTGATGAGCGCGCGACACCTGGCTCGTCGTCGTCGAGCACAGACATTTCCATAAGAATAACCCGCGGAGAGTGAAACCGTTCAACCTATCCCGGCTCAATATCCATTGGAATTTGCGCATAATCGAGTTTCTGCATAATCTAGCGGTAAATTTCTCCGCGCACCTCGCGCTTTACGAGCGGCGACGGCCGATGCGCCGCGCGAAGTATCGGCCACTTGTGCGTACGCACGCTTCAAGCGTCTTCTCTCTCTCTCTCTCTCTCTCTCTCTCTCTCTCTCTCTGTCGTCTCCCCTTCGCTCCTCTCGTATTTTTTCTGCGTCGTGACGGAAATCGCGACATGCCCGGGAAAGTTATCGATCGCATAATTAATCATTTCAGATAATCGCGATCATAAACGTTATATTTTATTATTCTACGTTATAGCATGCTATTATGAAACGTTGTATTTATGCGACGAACGTTACAAAAATTGATATGTATACACTTTAGAAAAAAATATATGAAGTTAAATAAAATATATCTCGGCGAATGAGAGAGTGTAATATTCACACACAGGTATATTAATATAGAAAAGCAGTTACGTATGTGGATACGTTGCATAAAACTTTCATCGATGCGTAGCATGCTATTATGAATATTGTATTTATGCGACGAACGTTACAACAAGAATTGATATGTATATATATTAGAAAAAAATATATGAAGTTGAATAAAAAATATCTCGGCGAATGAGAGAGTGTAATATTCACACACACGCACACACACACACACACACACACACACACAGGTATCAATACGCAAACGCAATTATTTATCTATGTGGATACGTGGATACATAAAATTTTCATCGATGGAAATATGATGGAAGAGCCGATAATATGCCTTCGAATATTACGCGAAGAACTAAACTGCATGCGGATTTTTTGTTCATCAGGATTAGCTCAGGCAGCTGTGAAGTAGGTATCGATAACTTTCGGTGCTTCCGTGTATGCGCGCGCGTGTGTGTGTGTGTGTGTGTGTATGTATGCGCGCGTGTGTGTACGTGTGAAAAACGAGTGAGTATCGCCTCGAGGACTATCACGCTCCACGCGCGAAAGAATTGTCGCGGCTCGGAGATGCCGGGCCTCGTGGTGGTGTTTGTGCGAAGACGCGAATTGACGCGGCCGCCACCGCGCGAGGCACAAGCGCGAAAAGCTTGTTGCGCAGGATTAGCGTCCCCCTTCGGAGAACGCCAAGTCATAATATATAATGCGCGTTAGACGTAATGACACTTAAAATGAGTAAAGAAAACGCGCGCTCGCGCGGGACAGGCTGCGGACGGGACGCGAAAGCGGCGGGGATACGAGCGAGAGGAGGATGCAGGAGGGAAGAGAGAGAGAGAGAGAGAGAAGAGAGAAGCGGATTTGCGCAGCGCGAGTCGAAATAAACGACGACGTTTGCGTTCAGCGCGCAAAGGCCGAGGACTCTATTCCGCGGCGCGTCGACGCGAGCGCGCTCCGACCAATTAAAGGACGAGAGACGGCCTGCGTTAGTCGGCTCTTTCGGCGAGGATAGCTCGCCGACGATATCTTGCGCGTTTAATTAAATCAAATGATTTCGTTCGGGACGCTCCGCGCGAGGAATATATGTCGCCGATGAATGCCTCCTCCCGGCAGTGTCACCAGAGGACGGAGTCCTCCGAGTGGAACAACAGGCTTGCCTCCTCTTTACGTCCGGAATAAAGCCTTAAGCAGCCGCAAGAGCGATGGCACCACACGGCGTAATTAATATATTTCACGATACGAGACGCATCTCCCCCAGAGAGAGAGAGAGAGAGAGAGAGAGAGAGAGAGAGAGAGAGGAAGAGGTAGAGGAGGAGGAAGACAATGGCGAAATGCCACATTCGTCGTGTTGTCCGGGTCCTTTTTCGGGTGAACTCCTCGATTACGCTTTATCATCGCATCCAGCTCGGCGGGGAGGAAGAAAAAGAGAGAAAGAGAGAGAGGGAGGGGGAGAGAGAGAGAGAGGAAGCTTTCACCGACACGGCGCATGATGACTCACTGCGCCGTCGTCGTTCACGACGCTAATCGTCGCGGCGATCTGAGAGCGGGCTCCTCGCCGGTTGCTGGTACACATCCCGGTGAGACGAATCGCAGGGCATTACGTGCGTGTGTGACAGCGAAAGGGCCCCTCCCTGCCCTTCCCGCTACCTTCTCGCTTTCTCTCTGTCTCTCGTCCTTTTCCTTCCTCTCCTTCTTTCCTTCTCACCTGGTCGGGCCTGAGTCCGGGCGGCACCCAGGTATACTCCTCGAGCGCGCAGCCGCTGTCGTCGTCGCTCTGCGAATGCCTCTGGTGGTGCATCAGAGCCTCCTGCAGCGCCAGGCCGGCCGGGGCAGCTTGCACCGGGCTCTTGAACGGCTCCTGGTGAGGCGCGCCGCCGGCGCCGCTCGGGAACGCCATGGCCATCGCCATCGGCGGGCCCGGGCCCAGGCCGAGTCCCGAGGGACCTCCCGCCTCCGTTGAGGTCCGCTGGTGCTCCTCCCGCGGGCACCTGCAGCTCCTGCACACCTTCCTGCAAACGGACAACATCGCGTTCGTCAGCACGTCACGTGGCAGGTTTCTTTCAGTTCGGATGATTAATGTCTAGATCCTTCTTAATCACGTTGTCGTGTTCTTTTCGAGGTCCTTGCGACCTCGCTTCTCTTAGAACCCCCTTAGGACCCCCTGGAGGGGTCGCCAGGTATTTACGTAAGATGTATCTTTTTGGCATATACGAGGAAATTGTTTTTTTCTTTTTTTCTGAATAACGTAACATCGCGTAAAAGTGAGATATACGCGCATATCGAAGGAATCGAGATCTATAAATTAGAAATCGCGCTAATTAATGCTTTGGTCGGATGCTTCTTACGACGATTATAATCGACGAGGATTATTGGCTCGCAGATTATTTCAGTCGACCAGGGTCTTTTCGAATCGATCGACACTCAATACCGCCGCGAGAACGGTGACGAGCAGCGCTTCGTCGCGCGCATGTATTGCGATAAATTAGCTAATTGAATTTAAAGGAATTGGGACATACGGAGAATATATTCGACGTGAGATAAATCTGTACTCGGTGGAGGTTGTTGAAAGCAGTTAGAAATAATAAATGAGAGAGAGTTTTCGCGGGTAACGCTCTTGGGGGCATCGCGCGATTGATTTTCCGCTCGCGTGCTTCCCTAATTATAAACTCGCGAGAATAAACTCGAGGAATTCTATCCGTGTGCCGAATACGAAGTGCTCTTGCGATAAATCAGTTGCTCAAGCTTGGAAATCAGGGCATGTTCGACCGGAGTCCGGCAAGTCTACATTTTGCTGAGATCTGCTAAGAGCAGATGTAGAATATGAGAGACTTTCACGGATGGAGGCTCTCGGAGGATTGATCTCTCTCTCTCTCTCCTCCGCATTTTTCCTTTTGCCACAGCCTCGCTCGGGAAATGTTATTTGCTCTACGAAATCTTTCTGCGCCGTTTACGCGCAGCGTGCGACGTATGCGGGGAGAAAACTGGACGTAATAACGAGAGCGAGAGAGAGAGAGAGAACACGACGCATGACTAAATAGAATAAGCCGGCGCGCCTGACCACGATAGCTTCGGCGATTTCTTCTCTCTCCTCGCTTCGATAAGCCGGGATGTTTCAATTTAAAATTCCGCGGCCCGAACACGCGAGGAAATCGCGTGCGCGCGCGCTGTTCCAGATGTTCCGGATCAACGAGCGCCAAGTATCCATCGAAACGTTCGAGCGAAATCGATCGATGCCTCGCGACGCGAGCTTGTACCGTAAGCACCGAGTGATTTTTGATTAATGGGACTTCCGCTGCGCGCACTGCGCGATAACGATGCCGTTCACCAGCGCGGCGGACACGTGGAGACTTTAGACGGGAAATTGCGCCTCGGATGGGTCTACGTGAAAGTAGACGATTCGGTGAGAATACATCGTAAGATACCGACGCTTCTCCATTTCCCGAAGTCCTCGAATCTCCTCGGCCTCGAGAGCCCCAAACTAGAGCTTTCAAAATCGCTCGCTCGAAATTGCGTTCCCTCGTGGAAAATTCCACCTTGCCTCTTTCATGCATGTTTCCGGCCAGCCAGCCAGTAATCGTTTATCGACGAGAGAGGAGGACGTCTCCGCGAAGAGAGACGGATTCGAAGATAGATCTGTGGAAGCCAGCAGCAGCCCGAAGTGCGCATTTCGTGAGAAACTCCGAGACCATCTTCGTTCACGGGAAAAAGCATAACCGCACACGAGAAAGAGAGAAAGAGTCACAGAAATATTTTCACGAGCACTTCCCGGGGTGTTTTACTCCCCCCCCCTCCCCCGCCCCCCAAATGGCGACACCTCGGTGTCGTCGATGGTCCAGCAAACAATTTTTCTTCTATTACCCAGCTTCTTCTACCCAGCGAACGAGAAGAGGAACGGGGGGGTGCCAACTTCACAGACTTATCTCGGTTCCGCTGGAGCGACGGGGCTCGCACAGGGGGTGTTAGCGGAAAATTCGCAAATGTACCCCCCTCCCCCCATGCATATCACGCACGCACGCGCAGAGAGACCGACTCCTTTCTCACTCACATTCCTGGCTGAGCGTTCGGCCTCCTCCGGACACACCGTACACTTTCCTAACGCGACAGCGACGGCGCCGGCGGAGGAGCACGGGGGAGATTTACGCGCGGCCACGGATGGGAACACATTCCTCGTCGGCGAGGAGGCAACTTACTCCGAAGAACAGCCGGCCACATCGTAAGCCGAATGCACGGAGCCGCACTCGGCTACGCGGCCGCATTCCGCGTCTCCCGCGGCACGGGAGACGCGGTGGTCGGCCGCGAAACTGGTCCCGTCGTCATGGGCGCCCTTCAGGAACTCCACGCACTTCTCCGTCGGGCTGGCTCGCGAGGCCGCCAACGGCGAGCAGCCGACCACCGCGGCGACCACGTCGTCGACGTCGTCGACGTCGTTGGCGTCATCGTCGTCGCGGTTCCTCAGGAACGCGTCGAGGTAGTGCTCGTCGGCGGCCGGCAGCTCGTAGACGAGCCCGGCTGGCGTCCAGGCTGCCTCGAGGTCCCGAGGCCGCGTCGCCCCGAGGTCCTCGTCGTTCGGGCTGCCGCCGGCCTTCTGGCTGTCGTTCCTCCTGCCGTAGAGCTTGCGCAGGTACGCCTCCTGGTGGCTCCTGGTAGCCCAACAGCCACCTTGCCACCATCGCTTGGAGCCGAGCACGGCCGTGCGTCTCCTCCGCGCTAAGCTCGACATGCTTCCTCCTCGTCCTCCTGCGCGCACCGGTCAGGACCGCGAGCACGAGCACGAGCGCGACGACGACGGCGACGGCGGCGGCGGCCAACGGGCAACAACATCCGGACCCGACGCGGACGGTCGTCGTTAAGATCGACTCCACCGGCGTCTCTCTCTCTCGCTCTCTCTCTCTCTCGCGTCTCCGCCCCGAGCCGACGGTAATAATCGCCGAGAGTGGCGAGACCTTCTAGTCTGAGGAGGGCGTCGACGGGGTCCTTTCCTCGCGCTCGCTTTCCTTCCTCCTCGCTATATTATGTCCGTTTTCGCGGTCGTCCGTCCTCCAGCGAAAGCTAATAAGGCGACGCTGTACGGCTCGCTCCAGGGCAACCGGGCTTTTTGTTGACGCAGGAACCCTTCTGCGTGCGAGCGTATTAAAGGCCTATCGCGCCAGGGTGGCTGTGCTGCTCTCCACGGCGTCTGGAGCCGCTCACTTTCCGCTCTTTTCCCGGCGAGAGCTCTCGACGCGGAAACGCGCGGAGAGATCTCTTCCTCCCTCCCTCCTCTCTCTCTCTCTCTCTTGTTCGCACTCAGTCTGTTCCTTCCCGCCGCATGACCTAAGCATTAACTCGCGTTGCTTCTCTCTTCCTCCTTCTTCCGCCGAGCCTCGGCCTGCTTCCTCCCAAGTTCCTCCGAAAGTGTGCACTAGTTCTTCGAGGAAGAACAGCCCGTCGTTCGAACGCGAGTAACGATCTCTTCGAGGACACTCGTTCTCCCGATCTCGGGTCCCCGTGGAGGAGCCGTGAACGAGGGGATACACTTCGCGGAGTTTCCTCCGAGATATGTCCGGCGACGAGTCGAGTGGACCGATCTCGATCGATCGATCGATCGATCGATCGACCGAGCAGGTAGATCCCAGGCGGCAGTCGAGGACTTCTCCCGCGCGACAGCCGCTACTTCATCCCCCGCCGAGCGGGCGCTTCACTTCCCACGATCTTCAGCGAGCACGTTCAGCGACCCGTCGCTTCCCATAAATGCGCGTCCATGAGTCGCGGTAATGATAGAGGCGACTGCGACTCTCGGCCGGGTCCTCCGTAGCAGCTCTGTCCATCATACCTCGAGCCGTCGACGTCGCGCCGCATCCACGCCCGAGGGAGTAGTATTGCGTACGGAACGACGGAGATGCGCGCGCCCGACGCGATGGAGACGTCGGACGGAATAAAGACGTTCCTCTCGGAGCCGACGCGGAGCGGCGTCTAATGCCACGAGCGGGTCTCTCCTCGACGACGGCGGAGCGGTCGTCGCACGGCTCGGAGGACTCAATCGTGCTCCTCGCAGCACGTCATCGTCCTCGTGCGGACGACTCTCGGTCAGAGAGAGAGAGAGAGAGAGAGAGAGAGAGTCCACTTGGCCGCGAGCGGAAACGTCCGGTCTCGCGAATCAAGGACGTTAACGTCAACGCCGGAGACGCCTCGTGGGTCGCAGGAGATCTCCGCTGGACACACAGGTGGCCCGCGGAACAGACGCGTTCCCTGGAGTACGGAGCTCGACTGGCGCTGTGATTGAGTGGCCTCGCGCTGCAGCCGGACGCTGCGGGAAGAACAGAGGACTCAATCGCGAGCCCGCGTCGCGGCATCGCACCGTCGTCGCCGTCGTCTCGCCGACGTCTCGCCGGCAACCTCGAGACCATCACGCCGCTTGTTCACCATGTCTCGCGATTGGCACGCGCTCGCGAACCCGCGGCCTCAGTCTCTCTCTCTCTCTCTCTCTCTCTCTCTCTCTCTCTCTCTCTCTCTCTCTCTCTCTCTCTCTCTCTTTCTCTCTCTCTCAGGCAATAAGGGCGACGGCGAGCCGGCTGCGGGCAGGAGAAGGACGCGACGGAGGGGGCGGTGGGAAGGGGTGATCGGGGAGAACAAGGCGGAAAGGGAGAGGATCGAGTGCGCTCCGGCGAAAGCGGTCGCAGGAGGAGGAAGGGAACTCGAGAGGGGCAGGATCGTGCGGGGAAGAGAGAGAGAGAGAGAGAGAGAGAGAGAGAGAGAGAGAGAGAGAAACAGTGAGAAGACAAGAGAGAGAGGAGAGGAGAGGAGGGAGAGAGAGAGGGAGGGAGGGAGGGAGAGAGAGAGAGAGAGAGAAAGAGAGAGAAACAGAGAAAAAAGGAGGAAGAGACAGAGAGAGGGGGGGTGAAGCGGGCCGGAGGGGTGAGGACCAATCTGTACGTATAACCGGTAGTACAGTGCGGATTAACGTTTTAATATGCGACACCTATCGCGCGGTACAAAGGCGAGCGACGGGCGGCGCGATGCGCGATGGCGCGCGGTGTCAGGAGCTCTCTCGCGCGTCTTCTCTCACTCGGTCGGGTCTTCTCTCACTCCGGCGCGCGCGGCGGAGAGCCGGGCGTGGATGACAGCCGCGGAGGTCGAACGAGGTCGCCCGGCTACGCGAACGATCCTCGTCCGACGACGGTCCTTCGGCGGCGATCAATCGTCGCGAGACGCCGACTCGCGTCCACTTTGCGGCGCGCCACGCCACGCCACGCCACGCCAACACTCGTCCGTGCGGAGCACTCTCTCGACGACGCTCGCCTCCACCGCGACGACCCCGTGGATCGCGACTTCGCCGCGCGCGCGCGCGCTCGCGTGCGGTCGACGTTAGCAGCGGCGCGTTACAACACAATCGGGAAACGCGGCGCGACGGGCGCGAGGACACTCAGAAGCACTCGTACACAAGCACGTCCTGTCCCTCGTTCCACCGGCACGGGGCGTGCTGAGGCCGAGCGGACACTGAGCATACTCTCTGGGACTCTTCGGGCCCCCGTGCGGGACGCGCAGGAGGGGGCAGGCCGGGGCCCGCGAGCGAGTGCCAGCGTGAGGAAGGAGGAACGAGCGAGGAGTCGCGTCGGTGCGTGTAACTCCGACGTTACCAATACCTGCGCGAACTCTCCCTCTCCTTTCTCACTACCACCACGTGTCTGTCTCATTCTCTCTCTCTTTCTGCTCTACCTCCCCCCGCGCTCCCCCCCCTCTCTCTCTCTGTCTGTCTGTCTGTCTGTCTGTTTCTCTCTCGCTCGCTCGCTCGCTGTCCCTCTGTCTCTCCCCCGCTCTTGTTCGTTCTCTCTCTCTCTCTCTCTCTCTCGCTCCTCTCGATATATTTATATTCGTTTCTAATACGTGTGGCGTGTCGGGGCCCGACGCCTCTCGCCGTGGGCCTTCGTGGAGTACGCGAGAACGCGCGGGCCCGGTTCCGCGTGTGCGTGCCGCGACGGGCCTCGGGCCCTCGGGCCGAACGGAGGACGCTCTGCTCTGCTCTGCTCTGCTCTGCTCTGCTCCGCTCCGCTCCGCTCTTTTGCGCAGCTCTCTCGCGAGAAGCCACTTGTATACTTTGGCGACGTCATTCGAAAATACGCCGCGACGAGCCTCGCTCCTTTCCATTGCGATTATCGGCCGCGCCGATTAAAAATGGAGGCGTGTTCGCTAACAGGCTCTCCGGGGAGTGAGATAACTGCAGCTTGTCGCGTTTGCGCTCCTTTAATTGCCGCAGATCGGAAGAGGCAGGTCGATTAACGTAAATTCCCGCACGTTTCTGCCGATTCCTGTGCTAATTGAGATACTACGAATGCAATCGTTAGCTTGTTGCCGACCTTTTAATCTTAATTCCCGCTCACAGACGGTTTCAAAGTGTGCGAAAAAGTGTGGAGTATAAATACTTCAGACACGGCGTACCATTTTCACAGGATGTATCCTACATATACTACATCCTTTACATTTAAATCACATTAAGCGACGCGAAACCCTGAATTTAAAAAAAGATATGAAGTTAATATTTAATAAAATATTAATGTTTTTTTATGTTTAATGTTTAACATTAATAATATTTAATATTAATATTTAATATTTAATGAAATATTTAAAAAGTATTAAGATTGTACCAAATGTAAATTGAGGTTTTAACTAGATTTTGGATTAAAGTTCTTCAATGTTAATTAAGGTTTGTGTGTTAATCCTTCGAGATCCTTCGCTCGTAATCCTTGCCGATGCGAGAACGTCTCGTAACAAGATTCAGTTTTTGTATTGGAGGTTCACAGTTTCTCTCAGAGTCCAGATGCTTCAGCCGAGAGGTCCACACAGTTCTCGGCAGCTTCGTTCTTCAAGTCGCCTTTGACTTCGATAAAAGTACATCTCGCGCGCTGCTCCCGCCCACAAATCTCGAGAAATGAGCACTGTGGATGAACTTTCGCTCGGTTCATCAGTCAAACGTCGCCGGCAGGCTGTCGTTCCCGGCTCCCCGGACGATATCAACGGATAGAGACGGAGATTGGAATTCGAAGACAGCCCACCCAGCTCGAAGCTGCCGCTCGTCGTCCGTTGAATCATCTCATCTCCCTACTTTTACACAAGTCTCACCTGTTCCACCGGCGCCTTGTACCAATCCCTCACACGTATCATCACGATAAGCCCGCTTCCACGTTAACGTCTTTATCTCATGACGCGTACACCAGCGGTGAGCGCTCCTTCTCTCTCTCTCTCTCTCTTTTTCTCTCTTGTTTTTTTTCACAGAATTAGGTGTATCTGTCGGTCGAGTTCAGTAAGCCGTGTCGAATCTTAACGAGCGCTCCCGATAATATTGCGCAGCGGTACAGGTGGGCGCGCCTATGTTTATAATAAATATCGCGCGACTCATTAAGCTTCTTCTCTCCGTAGCGTCATTTTCATCGCGCGATATCATCTATGTGTGTGTGTGTGTGTGTGTGTGTTTATTTGTTGCGTACGTGTCCCCGTTCCCACGGGGCTCGGCCCCGAACAACAAAGTGCCCTGCCTAACCTACCTACCTACCTATCTCTATCTATCCATCTATTCTTCACATGCTCGAACGATCAACAATGCTGAACGTGGGCCACGCTTCTTCTACCTCCCCTCCCTCCGCCCGCCGTTCGGATATCAACATAATCGACTTGTAGAAACGCGAGCACGCGTCTGCGTCGCGGCTGGAGCGACGATTTAGCGGCCGTCCCGATGGCGGTGTCTGTGTAGCCGTGATAGAGGCGTCCCCCATGGAGACGGAGCTGGTCGCGCCTCGAAAAACAGGGGGACCCGACGGACCGTCGAGCTCTCGTCGAATGTGCCCACGTACAATGGGCCCATTCGTGAGGGATATCACGCGGAGAGCCGTCCCCGGGTACGTGCGCGACACGCCTCCTCCGTGACGCTCGCGCGGGCTGGACCCTCCAGGAGGATCGTCGTCCCTTGCTTAAACGGACGTACCTCGAGAGTAGGGTCGCCGGATGTGGACGCTGAGCAATCTCGACAGATTAGCGAAAAAAAGGGGAAAACTGTGGAATGACTGCATGGCGGCTTGCGAAAGCATATTTTTTGAGAGACGCGGAGAAAAGCCAGTCCAGGAGCCGGCATCCTTGTGCAAATCCTTTCTCAAGCTTTGAGACAATATTTTCTTAAATGTTACAGGGATTAAAGATAAATAATGAGAAACGACGTGAGGGACTATGATGCAACGTGGTGAGACGTTTTTGTAAAAACGAACAATGTGCAAGATAAAATCTTTCAATTTGAAATTTACGGCGAGCTGAGGACATCATCGAAGAGGCGGAATTCATCAGCCGTAGCTCTTCCTTTTAGAAATCGACTCTAGCGTCATCAAAATTTCAAATTTGAAAATTATTTCAGTATCCCCCTGCACCGATCCCTCAAAATCCCCCCCGTTTCACGGCGAATAAATAATGATTGAAAAATAATCAATAAATCAGCGATAAATCCCTCCATATACCACACAACCTTCGGCAAAATTCGGCCTTCTTAGGGGGCCTCATGAAAGTATCCCCGATTCCCGATTTTGGTTTCGACCGACAATCGGTTTTCCGGCTTCCGGCCGAGAAATTAAAGAAAAAAAAAAAAAAGAGAGAGAGAGAAAAGGAAAGGTTGTTTCTACGGTCGAACTCTAATGGCTCGTGTCGGCCGCAAGAACTGTCGGCCGCACGCGAGTCGAAGGCGTCTCGTCGGACACACAATGAAGCGGCGAGCCGCGCAAGAACGCGGCCGCGACGGAATGTCACTCGGCGTTAAGTAAGACCCGTATGGGGCAGCGCGCGGACTGCGCGATTCGAACACAAATGCGCGAGCACACGTGCCGCGCACGACGGATCTTATCGGCGGATGTTCAACGTATCGTGCACGATGTGTCTCGAGACGGCGAGCGGGCTCCGGCCGTGCTTTCATTGGCCGTGAAGAACGCGCGCGCCCGCGACAGAGGAAGAGAGACAGGCTGAGCCGCGAGCGCCGTGGGCGTAAATTTTACGGCCGCTTAACCTTCAATTAAGAGCTCGATTTCCCCGCAGAGACAGTTACGATGCGGTGCGGGATAGTCGGCCGAATCCATTCGGAAGCGAGCGAGGCGACGCGCGTGAAACGGACGTGGAGTCGATCCTCCCCAGCGACGCGCTAAACTTTCACGGTTCACGAACTATCTCGCGACACGTGCTCCGCAAAGAAGAAGAGAGAGAAGATAAAAAGGATAGAAGGGAGATAGGAAGAGCGCTGGGCGGAGTATCGTTTAAGCCAAACGGGATTTCATTCAATTAACCGTATATTAAATCCAATCGGAACGCGCCGAGCGGCCTGTCAATGCGCGTTTAATTTATGAACGGAGCCGAAGAGACGCGCAAGAAGATAATGATCCCGGCACACAGTTGCGCGGGGGAGGGGGTGAGGGGGGCTTGTTCTCGCCTCTTTTTGCCCTGGGTTGTACTTCTCAGCGCGTCGTTTCACATTCCTGCATGCGCGCGACACGATTTCTATAAACGACGGCGATCTAATCGTCGGGATTTTACAGCGCCTTCTTAATGACGTCGTCGTCATTCGCGATTCCCCGTGGATCGATGAATTTTTACGATTTTGCTGTCACAACGGGCGACAGGCTTCTCTCTCTCTCTCTCTCTCTGGCCGCACTCGCGTTCTGCTTTCGGCCGTGGAATCGCGAGAGCAGTTTCGAGGAAATCGCGCGCTTAAGGTTCTTCAACGACTCGGGAAACGAGCAGTTGATGAAAGATCGGAGAGAACGCATCCACTGAGTGAAAGTATTCGTGACTTGAAATGCGAGTGTGGTTTCAAAGACGCGTTTCAGCGGTGTCGGACGACACTACCGGGCTTCAAAACGTGACACAAGCAAATTCAACGATATTCTATACTAATAAGGAACATCCGCGAAATGTGTGTCTTCGATTTCGACGAAACTTGGCATACTTGTAGAGCAGCCAAAAATAAGAGACTCATATTTCTTTTCATCGGCAATGGCTCAGGTTTAAGGGGTAAAACTGCTCCTCAAAGTTCCATCCCCTTCGTGCTATCTCTGCGATGATTATTGCAGATAGGAAAAAACTTGTCAGACAAAAATTGCACGGTTTTTTATGTTGTTCAATTTTTGTCTAAAAAGTTTTTTCCTATCTGCAATAATTATCGAGGTAGTATGAAAGGGACGAAACTTTGAGGAGCAGTTTCATCCCTTAAAATCTGAGCTATTGCCGATAAAAAGAAATATGGGTCTTTTTATTTTTGGCTACTCTACAAATATGCCAAGTTTCGTCGAAATCGGAGACACACATACACACACACACACATACACACTTATATTTGTAAGAGAAAAAAATGCTTTGATATCGTGTTTTCATAAATACAATTATTTGCCGAATCTTTCTCAATTTTCGGGCAATCTTCCTCGATGGCGGACTCGATCCCCTCGATCCCTTTATTACGTCATTTCGCGGTTCCGCCACCCAGATCAGCCCGACAGACGGCAAATTCCGCGGCGGCGGTGGCAAGATCCTCCTGGCAGGATCGATTTCCTGCGCGGCTAATCGCGCACTGTTGCCCTCCGACCCAGGCAAATGCGATATCCGGTACCGGGACGAGTGCGTTCATCCAGCGAGTCCGCCTCCAGCGC